TGTTATTGTAATTGCCGTCTGTGTACTACGGCGATTATAACGATAATATACACACGTGTTTGCGCACCGGTAACGTTTACGTGTTTTCCTTTTCGTTTTACGGCGCGCGCGCTTTTCAACGGTCTTCGGCTACAAAGGCGGCAGAACAGAATTTTCATTAAGTCGGCCGGTTTCGCGGGCCGAGAGCGTCGTCGCGTTTTACCGGGTTCGGCACCGACGGCGGCGCCGCGCCAGTACGGCAGTTTCGACACCGAATAAAAACGCAATATTAAAACGTAGGTACGTAACGGGAATTTCGCGCGAGCCGTATTTTCGTTGCGCACAATAATATTATTATCGCGCGTTCGTATCGCGAGAACATACTGTCCCCGTGTCTCGTACGATATCGTTTTCCACCGTCCTACCCGCCCCTCACCCGCCGAACCGATAACAATATTGTTATTGCTGTTATCCCCCTCCCCCTCCCGTATCCGTTTTTGCGCGACGACGAAATTTCTCGTTTCTCCCGCGCGCCTTTTCGCCGGCCGTTATTGTAATATTATTATTATCGTTATTGTGTTGTTCACTCGTATACGTTCGAAAACCGTTTCGCAAAACGCTTAAACCGCCACCGTCACTGTGCTTCCGCGATTGTAGCGCGTTGTTATTATTATGATAATGATACGACGACGACGGTAAACAACGACCGCGACGACGAAGCCGGTGACGTTTACCCGAAATTATTCTCGCCCGCCCCGAAATATTGCGACCGACCGTCGAAACGGTTTGTTTTTTTTTTTTAAACGATTTTTTTTTTTTAAATATATATATTTACACGAGCCCGAAACGAAAATAATAAAAACTAAATTTATAATAATCGTAAAAAATAACTTACACGCGTGTTTTTTTTTTCGTTTCGTCGGTTTTTTTAATATACGAAATAGTATTCACGTATAAAATTACACGCGCGATCGGATACAAGCGCCCGTACCCGACCCGACCTGAGGTTCCGAAAACGATAAAATTGTTCGCCCGCATACATCAAGAACGATTAACACACGTGTGGGAACGAGGGCTCGAATTTTTTTTTTTTCCGAAACAGTACATTTTAATAACAGTTGTAAATTAGGCAAAATTATAAAGTTTCCACAAAAAAAAAAATAAAAAACCATACCGAGAAAAATATTTATGTTATACCTCCTAAAAGAATTACCGATATTACGAATTAGGCACTTGATCTAATGAACAACTCAATTGTATAAATAATAATATTGTCGACGTATTATTCTCTGCGGCTTGCCGGTTTATTGAGGGTTATTTCCGCCTTCACCGGGTCCCGTCACACTTCACCTCCCTCAACAATGCAAGTCAAACCATATAGATATCATCGGTAACGTAACTTCGACACTCTGACTAGGGAGCGGAATGTTCAACGGGATTCTCCCTTCATCTAGATTGACGTAATATAATCTGACACATTTAATCACCAATGAACGTAATAATAAGCTAAGAATAAATCCCAAGGTTCATAAGTTGTGTCTGAATAAATTTTGATAAAACCCGACCCTTGACGATTAACAGCAATGAAACAATTATTAAAACTTGTTTACATCGGCATAGGACTCGACCGAGTCTTCTTCTTCTTTCTTAGTTTCTTTGTTTATTAAGACCATACTGCTAAACACAAATAACCCTATATTCTGTTGTTTCTCTCCATCTAATTTATGATGACCAAAGAAAATTGCTAAATCAAGTACTAAATTGCGTTTAGTGACCAACTATACACAGTCAAGTACAATTGAAAAGTATAGTTAATTCTACTACTGTAATTTCGTATAATTTTTAAAAAAACGAATAAAAAGAACAGGACGGTGCAGCCAACGTGCAGAAGCCGATGTGACTGAATTCGCTAGATGCACTATAAACAGAATCGATCAATAAACACAGTGACGATTAGAGATAGGATGTTGATGACCTAATAAGCTCCAAACAAATATACTTAAATAAGAGAAAAAAATTTAATTTAAAAATAATTATTATTTATTTATACATATAATATTGATATGATAATGAGTGTGTCTGAGTATTTTAAAATATGAATTGTATAATTTGAATATACAATAGCTAGTGTGATCTTATTGGTACGCAATAAATTTAATCATAACAAAAACCCCACAGAAATAATAATACAAATAATTTTTTTGAATATTGTACACATTTTCTTAAAAATCTAAAATTTAAAAATAATGCCCCCCCCACTTTGTACAAAACTACAAAAAATTACCTAAAATATAAAAAATGTAAAAAAAAAATTAATTTATAGCTCAAAAAAAAAAAATACAAAATACAAAATACAAAATAAAATAAATTAGTATATTCTGTATCAAGAAAGCATGAAACAAATGTTTAGCTAAGATAGCATTGTATAGGATCGAAGGAAAAAAATGCAAGTCACCAACATCCTAACTCTAGTGATGATTAATAACGTATTATAATTAATAACGTATTTTACTCACTCGCAATTTTATTAACGACAGTAAGGCCTACATTGGTTTCGTAGATAATTGAGTGCAAGTAGTAAGTCCAGCTCGGCCAATGAAATAGAACCGTTTTTCTAGTCGCTCGACTAAAACCTTTACTATAATCGCCACTAGAATTATTGCTAAAAATATGTTCACATTTTTCAAGACGAAAACAATTCAGGAACTTGCTTTAGTGACTTTAGTATCCTAGTGTAAATCATGTAACAGAAATGCTTTGACATACTTATTTCACCGTTGTAAGTACTATATTTATGATTCATGAGTATTACGTCGATAGCATAACGCTCACGCTCATACAGGCTACGACTTTAAATAATAATATCTAATGATTTTGATTTGTTAAAATCGTTATTTAAATATTTATACATTGTTTTACTTCGGGCCACTAAACGAACGGGAACTCGGTGCGGTCGCGACCTCTGATCCCTTTTAGTTACATTCTGATCAATATCGATCTCGGGTCTTCGATAACACTGTATCGTCGTCCGAGTCCCGTGTCTCTCGAATAGGGGTCTTTTTCCGTTTATAAACAGTAATATTCTAGTATATAGAACCCTATATAAAGTTGCATTTCACGGCTCGTGCCGTACAACAGTTACGGCGACAATACGTTAGACGTTTAATATCATATAATACGCAAGAAGAACACTATACAAAATATTCAATCAAAACTTCGTGTCTGCGGATTTAGCGGATTTAGGGTATAATATGATTTTGAGTAGGTTCGCTATAGATATATGCGCTTAATAGACGGGAATAGATAGTCAGGTCCGAGTTCCCGCGAATGCTCGAAACGAGTTTATGCCAGTTTTTGGTGATGGACTATAATATGTTACAAAATCATTATGATGTTATGGTTTAATAATAGATATTTATAGTGTCAATTTTAAATGCATCTATTCCGTGACCGAATAGGCAACTGTGTCGTATTAACATTTGAACGGTCGAATGAAATTTCGATAACGTCGTATTGCTCTGCGGGATATTGGTTCAAGTAGCCGATAAGCGCGAGTCGCTTATCGTAGGTAAATTAATTTATAGGGCTACGCGTATACGATAAACCTCTCGTTATTCTTTATTGATATTATTTTTTCTGTTAACTGAACTATAATATGTATCAAAGCAGTGTTTACGGAAACAATAGAAAAACGAAATGTATTCCAAATCTCGTTAACCGAACGTCTCTTGTAGGTAGGTAGGTATACGTATTATACTCAGGACGTGAACGAATAAACGTTAAGCGGAAGCGTCGACTTATGGACCGCCGGAAACTGACCCCAAAGTATATAATTTATTATTACGCAATATTATTATATCGAAATTTTAATTTCCGGGAAACGACGGGACAAGACAATATTACAACGTGCAAACTTATCGGAATCGATTCTGGAACGGGCGTTTTAAACGTATTTTTTATACTGTTATTGAAATTTAAATTATCTATAATAACTATCAATAACGAAACAAAAAAAACTAACGGACGACGGGCGGGTCACTGATGTAGGTAAAAAGTGGGGATTGTAGAGAGGAATCGTAATGTATATCTGTACGCAACGGCTAATCATTGCTGAAGAAAAACGATTTTTTGCAGAGTTCGGTTGATAGTGTGGCTTTGTAAACAATATTTATGTAATATTATAGTAAAATAATTTCATATGCATAACAAATTTTCTATAGTAATATGTGTTTGATATTGTACCTATTTTCCCGTTTTTCCATAATTTTTTTTCGATTTATTTGGAAAACTCCAGGAAAAATCAAAAAAACTACCTCCCTAAAGTATCACCCCAGTCAGATTTACTCCCAGAAAAAGTTCTATCGTAGTAAATCAGAGCGAAATTGCTGATATAAAAGTCGTCTACAGAAAAAAAACAAATAAAAAAACATTATAAAACCAATATATTCCCATTCCGCTCAGAATCTAAAATAAATATACCTATATTATATTAAAAAAAAAAAGGCACACGTCCCAGTAAATGGCAATGATTTTCGAGGCTATTATATTAATTTTTTTTTTCTCTATGTGCTCAGGAGACCGGAAATACGGCGGAAAATCGGTCGACACCACCGGGCGACGGATGAACGGAGTGGAAAAGTTTGACGAGATCGAGACGCAGAGCAGCAGCCACCGGGCGAGCCGCGGGTCGAGTCGGGCCCGCCGGTCGACGGTCAGCCAATCGGTGGGCATCGCCGCCGAGCTGGTACTGCTGGCCGCCGTCACGGCCGGCTGGTCGACCGGTTGTGCGGTGGACGCCGTCGTGGGGCTCGTGTCGCTGGCGCTGGCCGCCTGTCCGCCGCTGTTCCTGTTGGCATGGCGCGACGGCGACGTCCCGCAGTGAACCTTACCCGACGACGATTGACCATATTTTTTTGCGCTGGGCTCGAACGGACCGACGACCATCTTTGACCGCTGCGGTTACCGGCCGCGGTTACTAAAATACCGCGGTTAAGAGTCCGTGCCCGCCGCCGCGGTCCTCGGTTCGAAAAACCCGTGTCCAGAATCGAAATATTATAATATTATTATTGCGCTCGTCACGAATCGTATTTGTTTGTATAATTTATATTGAAACCCCGCCGCCGGTCATAATTCGTTAAAATATCGTCCACTGAAATTTGTTTTTAATAAACACGACCGTAGAACCATATTGTAATAAACAGACCTCACGATTTTACCGTATTCATTTTGTATGTCCGTCGAAGCCGACATAATTATCATACGCGACAAACCCCGTTGACTCGACAATCAGATTATAAACGATTTTGCAATACTACTCGATACGAATAGAATACTGGTAACACATTCTTTGAATTGAAAATCTCTTGAACGTTGTTCTCACCGCGGTTATAGGCAGAATGTTTGCACTACCAATCGCCAAGAAGTGACCCCGACGGTTTTTATCAAAAATATGAAAAACCCCCTGCCTTGTGGCTCCGTTTAGATAAAACTTCGACAAAATTTTTAGACAATACCAATATTGTACCCGTGGTACATTATTATTATGACCGCGACAGTAATGTGTAATTTCATTAATTATTCCGCCGGGAGCGCTGTAAGTCAGCGAGAAAACGTTAAGTTTGTTAAGAATCTTTTGGACCGCAGTCCGGTGTATTATAGAATACGCCGTTGTGCAACTGTCCCGTCTATAACCGTTATTCTTACCAACGGGTGTTCAATAATTATATTATCTCAGTTGTTATCGAGTAGTTTAATACAATTATTATTTATAATCTAATTGAAAAAGTCAATTATTACGGTTCCGTCACTCACACTTATCGGTCGGACGACAAACTTTTTCCTAATTTTTGATATTATATTTAAAGTTATCCCTTTTTGTTGTTGTTGTTGTTGTTGTTGTTGTTGTACTGTTTACTCGCAATCATATTACTAGCTGCGGTTAGGTGCAAAACGGACCGTCGTCAAAAAAAAAAATAATTGCATTTTTTTTTTTTAACTGTACCTATCGCAATAGTCAAGTACTTTCAGTGTTGGAATTTTCGGAAGAAACTAATTTTTTTTTTCGGTTAATTTTTTTTTTCAGATTACTTTTGACATCGACACCTCTTTTACCGAGCCACAGACACATTAATGTACATTAATATTAAGAACACGAAACGTTCCGAAAACCATTTTAAACGCACATTGTAATTATTATTGATTCCCGCAGTAACATTTTTCGAGAGGATAAAATTATTGCTCAATCGTAGTGACTTTTCCATAACGATTATTCGCCGCGCGGTCTTTATTATTCCCATTATTATCGCCAGCATTTTTAAAAAATAAAAAAAAAAACGCGATTTTTCGTTTTGTTTGTTTTTTTTTTTTTTTTTTTTTACGTTCCTCCCGAATAATACGTAATAATATTATGCATTATGGGCAAACGTTTGTATAATAAAATATGGAAAATCGGTCAATTGTTATACAATAAATGTTCACTCGGTGTTGTACCCATATCTTAGAAAGTTATCGAAGTATTTTGTTCGTTTGTTTGTTATACAATATATTGTTTTTGATAATGTACAAAGATATTAATATAATATTATAAAATTAAGAACTGTACCATGTGTAAATACCATATCAGCGTTATTCCTGTATTATTATTATTTATTTAGTCGAAAGTTAATTATTATTATTATTATTATTAATAACTATATAAAACATAATGTTATTATTTACGCGAATCGAGTATAATTTTCGAATAATTAATATTTTACTATTATTATAAAATAAAGGTTAAAAAAAAAAAAAAAACTAAATAATAATAAAAACGGACAACGATTCGTCGTTGACGTAATAATAATAATATTACTATAAAATATAATTATAGCGTTTTTTACGGAACGTGTTTTTACGAGCCCCGTATACAAAAAATTATTGTTTTTAGACGAATATATGTGTTGGTTTTTTTTTTTTTTACATATACAATATTATTCATTATATAAAAATTTGTTTAGATATTACGTACGGTTTTTTTTTTTTTTCATTTTTAACCAAACCGAAAAACCATATTCGTTATTATATCATGTATAATCGACTGACGGTAAATATTGCTGAAACGCCTATTATGTATACGAAAAACGTATCGCGATCGGAAAAATGTAAACACGACAGAATAAATGGGTACGCAGTATTTCGACACTCACGTCCCGCTCCTAGCTTCCGCGTTGTCGCGGTTCTCCGCTTTTATCGTCGGCTAATAACACAGTTTTAACATTGGCGCACATCGGGCGTGAATTTAGATGGCGCTAGAATAGATTATGGTACACAAATTCGTGGTGGTGGAGCTTAGTCTCCCACACCCCCCTAGTACTATAATAAGCATAATATTACAGTCAATTTAAAATTTTCATGCAACCTCAGTTATAAATAGATCATAATTTCGTACCTCACCGTTTAAAATATAAAATATAAATTAAGATAGTGTTATGGTTTTCTGTACGATCGCTGTTTATTGTTCAGACGAAAACTGAAAAGTGCGTTCACACAATACCGTTTTAAACGTGATTTCCCGAAATTTTAATGGAAAAAAAATCAATATTTTATCCAAACCAAAAAAACCGCAATAATTTATAAAATTGCGCCTGTGTGCATTTTAACCGGTAATAATGGAGAACTGCTAAGACATAACAGGCAGAACGCGGAGGAAACGAGGCGTAACCGCCTATAAAAACCCGGAATGTACAAACCACGGGACGTGCACGCCTGGAGTCCGGATTCGTACTGACGCGGGGCGCTTACGGATATCGAAATCTGAACCGTACAGATCCGGAAAACGTAATACGTCCGAACCCGACGGTATTCAATAATTCCATTAATGGGATTTAAACGTTTCGGATCTCTTACGCGTCCGTGAAAATCCGGAAAGTATACAAACCCGGATTCCGGATGTGTACGTACGTTCACGTGGTTTTCACACGAAATCGCGATACGCTGTGATAACGCTCGTCTATTCTGTCATGGGAAACACGCATGTTCGCATACATTACACATAATATGTAATAAAACGAATATCGATTATAATGTTTGTATTTTTTTTATCTATAACGAATCGAATCCGATACTTTACACGCGGCCGTTTTTAATCGAGAAAGTTACTCGGCCCATACAATAACAATATTATTACCTACTGTGTATTATAATTATTATTATACCTACATGTGTTTGTATTTTTAATTTTTAAATATTTATTCAAAGTAAAATAATAAACAGAAAAAAAAAATAAAAATAAAAATATTATCTTATTATTTACTCGCGGACGCGATTGCGCCTCGGCGAATTCGTTTTCCGACGGTTTTTTTCTATTCGCAGGGTCCGGCGTCTAGGTACCACACGCGTACGGGTCGGTACACAGCAGCTGCACCGCACGTCGCGAGTGCACCGTACCCGGCGAAATCATAATATTATTATTATTATTGTTGTTATTATATCGCGGCAGGTAACGGCTGGCGGAACGGCACGCAAAAACCATATATAAAATAATATAAACCGACGCGCGTATTATCAACGCGGAACAAACGAACGCGGATGCGATAAAATTGAATTTAAAACGGTAAAAACAGATCCTGGTAGACATGTAGGCGGGTACGCGTACAACGTAATAATATTATTATTATTATTATTATTGCCGTGCTCGTGCGAAACGCCGAGTATCGAAACGAAAATACCGAGACGTTATTGTATTCCGTTCGAGCGCTTCGGCTACCTATATATATAAATATATTATATACGTGCACATACACGTGTAAGACTACACACGTTGTATGCCCGCCCATACGTTTTGCCCGTGTATTATTATTAACCGCGGCGTTACCGTGTGTGCGACTCCGCGCGCGCGACGCCCGGATACGAAGAAAATAACGTTTCTTTTCGACGGGCGACCGGCGATCGCGCCCGCGTCCGACACGTCCGGCACGGTATTACGCTGCGGCGCGGGACGCTTCCGAACGGCGGGCGTTTTGTTTCCCCCCCCCCCTCCCATTATTTCCGGAACGGCGGCGCCCTGTAAGTACGCGGGGCCCCTCCGTTAGTGACGGACGCTCCGACGGCGTTTCGATTTTTCCGATTCCCGTCGGAAGTCCAGGACCGTTGCGCGGATAAAAGTCCACGCTATCGAGTTACACGACGTTTTGCTCGGCCGGGCCGCAGTTGGACGGGCCGATCGGTTTTCTGCATAACACAAACGTTGGTGTGCACCCCGAAACTATTTCTACCGTTAAACAGTAAACGCGTACGGACGTGACTATTAGTCAATAACACGTATGGACACGTACGTTCAAATAACGCATACGCCATTGCGTTAAACACAATTTCTCCCGCCGAAAAGATGGAGGCCTCCCTCCGAATCGCGAACAATATTTCACCGACCGAGTGTGCCCGGTATTTAGAAATACGGTGTCAGATTTTTAGCGTGAGCCGAGTCGACGAACTTAAATCGCGGCTCGGTGGCTCGATTTTTATCCCGTCCGATTTAAACGGCCCGAGATTCACCCGATCGTCCGAAATCAGTGACGTTACTATAGAATTTTTCATTTCCGTGGAAAACTATTGTGTAAAGGCCGTTAAGAAAGAAAAAAAAAAGAGGTTATTGGAAAAAGGTCTTCTTCTACTTGTCCAATAATTCCTTGGGCCCAGATTCGGAACGCTCTGAATGTCATGGGCCCGTGGTTCATTTCCCGTCACGCCACCTTATTGCTACGCGCCACTGTCTGAAACTTCAAGACAAAACGCTGCGGTCTTATTATTATTATTTTTTTTTTTTATATATATAAACGACAGCGAATTTACGAATGCAAATGGAAAAGAAAAAAACACCAAAGATCGCCACCACAACAAACGTCAGTGTTCGGTAAGTGGAATTATTTTAAAATATATTACTCTAATAATCAGTCGGTTTTCTGACGCAAACGTTTTGACGTTATTATTCGTAGGGACGGAACAAAAAATTGTATTTTTCTTCGTCCTTTAACAGTTGAAACCGTAGTTGAAAATTAGTCTTATTATAATATTTTATTAGATGCCATCAATATAAAATGTCCAGTATTACGAGTTTTTCCGCTTTACGGGTTCTTTTATCTTTATGATGCGAAGTGTACGAAAACCAAATTATTGTGTACCCTAATCATTTTTTGGGTGTAAAAAAAAAATAAAATAGAAACTCGAAAGCAAATTTTATTTTATCTTTAAAACTTATATTTGTTTTATTAACTTTCATAAATACGGTGTATTGATTTCATAAATAACTGGCTTATATTGAATCGTATCCTGTTCAATTAATTTCGATTCCATTTAATTTCAACACAATAAGACGTTTTCGGTCTGCATGCCGCCGTTTGTATCGGCAACACTAAATATAAACGAGTAATCATTTTTAGGTTTCGAGCGTATTGTCTTCGATTATCTTTGCTTTTAACTTGCGTTCAGTTAATTTATCGTCTTGACACGCGTCAATCGAAGCGGCAACCGAAACGTTAAAAAAACAATTTTTGTTTTTTTTTTTTTTAAATCGCGGAAAGTCCGGGAAAATCCGAAAAACCGGCGCCCGACCGCGACCGGGAACCGACCTGGTGTGTTCGGCCTCGGGTTTCGCGCCCGTCCAAATGGCGACGGCGAAATCCGCGCGGCGAAAACTATCGCCCGTCCGGCGCGTTTGTGATCGCGGCGCGACGTGTTGCAGCGTAACTGTTCGATACGGCGTTAGAAACGGGTTCGGTGGAAGGGGCGGAGGGCGGGGGGATCGAGCCGATTCGCGCCTAATAACAGTAACGATAACGTAGCGAAACGAAACGGGCTAATCACGACCTCCGCGAATGGAATCCGTCGATTCCCGGCCCGTCGGCCTCTTCTCTCTCGCGGAAACCCCTCCCCACCCCCCTCGACCACGGTCGCGCGCGCACCGCGTAAACGTTACGGGCAAAAGAAACGCGAGATTTCCCGGGAGGGCTTTAAAAACGGACGCGCTCCTCGCGCGACCCCGGATAACTGTAAATATTTTTATACCTACCGCGTAAGTCTCCGTGCGCATTAAACCGTCGCTGTCGATTTAATACACACGCACACAAGCGCGCGCGCGCACACACACGCGCACACACACACATATATATATATATAAACATAAAAAATGGTGGGAAAAAAACCCCTCGAAAGATAATAATAAAGGAGAAAAACCCCGGGAGTTGAGTGATTTTTAGGCCGCCGCCGATACGACACCGGACGTCTTTGGCCGAACGCGCGATTTACGGAAGCAAGAAACCCGGTCACGTCGTCGTCGTCGTCGTCGTTATCGTCGTCGGATAGCCGGTAGTCCGTCCGTCCCGCCGTCCGCCGCCGCCGCCGCCGGCCCGTCACACGCACCTTAACGTCCGCCGGTCCACTTATCCCGAATAATGGGCCCCTGGAAATCTCGCGGCGGGGTTAATAATAATTCTCCGGGAGATCGCAAACGACCGGCCATTCGTCCGGGGCCCGCGTCCCTCCGCCCTACCGCTACGCCGCGCCGCGCCGCGTCGCCGGCGCCGGTACACCGTAACGATACGCACAGTGCGTACAATAACGTATACGCAGGCACCCGCCTATAGCGGACGTGAGCGCTAACGCGGCCTCGTTGAAATAATAATAATTCCGTTATTGTTATTATCACTGCGCGCGCGTATCGTGTTGCACCGCGAGGGGAATACGGGGCGGTTCGTATTATCGCGGCGGGCCGCCGACTGCGGTACTCGGAACGGGAAGAAAATAATAGAAGACGGCGCGCGGGTCCCCGTACGAGGTTATACGACGTTACAGATATTTTCATTTATTATTATTATTTTTCTTTTTTTTCTGCGAACTTTCCCGCCGGACACCCGGCTCCGATTTTCGAATGTGGCGCATTTTTCTCGAAAGGAAATTCCATCCGCTCGGCGCTCTGAGCAGGTCGTTTTTCGATTTTCTAAACGGTATTCATAATGATCGCACGAAAAAAAAACCATACAGACATATTCGTAGAGAAAACCGTAAATACCACGACCTTTTAAAACGCGTGTAACCGAACTCCGTTCAGATAGGTTTTTATTCGTTGGCGATGTTTAACCGTTGCATAATGATGTGTACAGATATTCTCCTTATATATTCTATACCTTCTCGACATCACTACTCTTTTGCAACAGTAGCCTCGCCGCCAATCGCGCGGTATAACATTATGTCTACAAAATTTATTTTAGGCTCTACTATCATATATTTACTATAACGATAATTTTTTTTTTCTTTCTGTCCGTAATTAACTTTCCTCCCAGAGATATCGCCCCGAATTTCAACTATACAGTGATTAGGGTTGATTGTGTTTATGAATTTCTGATAGAAAATTGTTAGGTATTGTCTCTAGTTGGTCCAATGAGAAGTCATTGTTTATTTTTTTTTTGTATTCTTCATAATGCGGAAATACCGAGAAAACCGTAGGATCAAGAGGAATATTTACTCCAAAAAAAACGGTTTTAGTTTTGTTTTTATTTGGTAAGAATATAATCGTACCGAAGACCTAAATAACGCGGTCACAAAAGTGATCAATTACAAAAAGAAGAATTTAAGCTGACTGAAACCAGCTAATTAACAACCTATCGATTGGTATAAAAAAAGTAATTTTTAACCACGCTAATATTATAAAATCTTCAGTTGGAAAGGGAACAAGTGTTTACGAAACTTTTGAATCGAGTCTGTTTTTTTAAACAAGAAATAGAATTTTACAGATATACTCGTAAATTAAATTCCCTCTTCGTCCTACCTTCCCAAATTCTCATTTACAACAAAGGCCTACCTATCGTGCAAAGTATGTCCGTTAATTTGGATTATTATTTTTTTTTATTAATGTGTTTCCCCGTGGCTCTCCTTTAACACGTCTCACAACTCCGTTAATATATAGCTGACCAGGATTTGCTGTTGCTATATAACAGTGTAAATAATAATAATAATAGTAATAGTTTTCTTGTTCTTGACAACTAAATTATCATTCATACGATCAAAGTAACCTATGAATAATTAATTTCGTACATTTTCCCATTCGTCATAAAAACCTCTGAGAAAATTAAAAAATAATGACGTTCCGAAAGTACCACCCCACGAAAATTCCCTTTCAAAAAAAAGATGCTACACTTGATAATCGTAGCAAAATTTCTTGTAGAAAAA